GGGGTGGGTGTTTTTTGACCTATTCGATGCTATCGATTATTTTCAATTGATTTCCTATTGTTCTGTGAGCGTTGGAGGTGCACAATGCATTGGATGTTTGTGGAAAGGTGTCAAACCGGACTGTTTTCTGGGGTTTTTTCTCATTTCGTTACCACCCGTAATGTCTGTTTGTTTCGTAATCTGTTGCCGGTGGTTTAGATTAGAGGTCAAAACCTCTTTTTAAAAAAGGCCGGATCATTGAAAAAATGCTGAGCGGTAGCCGGGAAACTAATTTTGTTCGATGTAATACACTGAATACGTATACGAAGAAAGACAACCGGCCTACTGATTTGTCAAATCCCAAAATACACAAACTCTGTAAGACCATGTATAATTTGTTTTACAGAGTTCAATGAAAGTATTATATTATTTTTGTGACCAAGTTCCGAGTCGTTGGCGGGTGAGATACTGTGGTGTGGTTTACTCCTTCATTCCTATCAAACATCTGCTGTCGTCCTTATCTCTCCTTGTGGATTGTTGGTGGGTGCTCTGGTGTGGTTTGCTCCTTCTTTTCTATCAAACATCTATCGCCCTTATTTCCCTTTCTTCTTTATTATGTTTGTTACTCTCCTGTAACACCTCTAATCTTCTGGCGCTCATATGACCGTATGCAGTTGCGAGCGCCGTAAAACCTCTACAAAAACAAACTTATCTCTACTCCTTCCTTTTTTGTGTTTGTTACTCTCTTGTCCCGAGGACGCCACAACCACATCTTATTATACATAAATAGTAGTTCATTTCCCCCCGTCTGGTGGCACGGTGGCAGGCTGGATAATCTGACCTCGCGGGCCGGATCCGGTGACCCACAGTTTAGACTGATGTGTCCGTGGGCAGTGCTGTTGCGGCTAGAGAGGTGAACAGAGTACGCCTGATTCCCCGGTTTGGACTTCTCTGTTGATATCCGTCCCTTGGCGCTCATATGACCTTATACAGTTACGAGCGCCGTATTCCCGGGGACAATAGTGTTGTGAGCACAGGCTCATACAATGTGTCAAGCCACTTGTCGCGGTGTTAACGTTGGTTGTCTTT